CTGCAGACATCAAAAATAAATGTGGTTCCCTGCTCCAGTTACAGCAACAGCCAAAAGGCTTCAAAGAGGTCACAGGTGTGGAAATTGGAGGGCTTGTAATGGAGAGCGAGATAAAAAGGGATTCTCTAAAGCCTTGGATGTAACTCTCTGATCTGAACCATGGTGACTAATGCAATTGCTGGGAGGTATCTCTGGCTTTGCCTAGAGCAAGCTAGCAAGTAATCAAAATGTTTGCCTGTAGCCAAACTGTTTCTGCCTTTCTATGCTTTAGAATAATAAAAGCATTATGCAGAAACCCCACTGTTAATGCAACATACGAGTGAAGTTCCAGGCTATTGTGTACATCAACTCTCAGCCTTAATACCAGCAGTAATTATAACTTATTCCTCCCTGCACGTAGTATGGTGACACCCCAGGAAATGATGCAGAGCTCTCTGTTTGTGCATGCGTTGACTTAGGCTGAGTGTAGGAACAAAGTCCATCTAATCCCTCTTGTTTTTCACCCCCTCTTTTGTTTTTCCCTTCCCGTCAAAGTGTCAGCTGCAATACTGTGCAATTGGAAACTTTTATCATTTAACTGCCATGTTTTGTCTATCCTCAGTCCTGTTAGAAGCTGGTTCTGCTGCGAGTGGATATGTTACTACTTTTCTGTTTGTAATGCAAACTGACATTTGTTTTTCTCTTTCTCTTGAGGCTGATTTTGTTCAAATTAGAGATTTCCTCAGAACATATGTTTTCTCATTTTCTCCTCTGTAGTTTTTGAGGCCCCTCAGCAGTTTAGGCTACAAGGTCCTGCCCTTGTCTGTACTTCATAAAAAAAAAAAAAAAGAAAAAAAAAGTTAGTGAACACCATTAAAAAGTCAGCTTTTGCTGCCAGCTATCTGTGGTAACCTTGATATCTCCTGTTTGAACAGAAGGGATCCAGCAGTCATTTCTGAATGTGAAAGAGTTTACAGTGTTGCCTTTGGTATGTAGGGTGTGAGCAAGTCCAAGGCTTTTTGTTTATGCTGGTATATTACAGCATATAATTGCACTCATCTTTTGATCTATGGTAAGAATTAGTTCCATTGAAAACATATTTTCTATTTTTAAATCAGTTGTCTTGAACTGTGTTCTTGAAATGTTCTGCCTTTTGGTTTTGTTTTCTTTTTTGCATAGATGCTCCGTGTTGTGCTGGGTTTAATATAATTGTTGACATGTTGGTTTGAGGGTTTTTTTTTTTCTTTCTTTCTTTTTAATAGTGCTTTAGCCTGTTTTGTATGACTTGCTTGATGTTTTGTGTTACAGTGTGTTATTCATCCAGACTGAAGGTGTGTGTTGTCTCATGGCATCTGAGTACCTCGCAGTTTGGAAAGATCTGTCGGGTAATGCAGTGGTATTACCCAGAGTTAGAGGCAGAGATGGTATATGGAGGCCTTAAGTGCTCTGTTCCCTCTCCTGACTAGAGGGAAGTGTCTGTGCTCAGTGTGGGCTGAGCTGGAAGCCCAGGGCTCCTTCCATGCTCGGGACAGAGGGAGAAACACCTTGAAATTCAGATTGTAGGGGCGATAAATTGACTGCAGGAGCCACTTTCTCTCCACTGATTAGAGGCTGAGTTTCTAACTTGAGTTTCCCTCCTTGCAAATCCAAGGATAAATGGGATTATTGAGGCCTAAGTGACTCTTCATTGGACACTTCTATATTCTGCTGTTTCCCTTGGTTCTTGTGATGCCCCCAGAGAACACGATCTGGTTACAACGTGCTGGGGCTGCTCCACCGGTATCATAGTAATATTTCAGCGTCCCCTTGTCACCCATAGTCACTCCCTGTCTCTTTTCTTAAAGGTGGGTCATAGTTTCTTTATGATGGAGATTTTTTTCTTTAGCTCGGCCTGTTCAGCTGCTGCTGCTATGGAGTTCTGGTGTGAAGTATTAACCAAAATGCTGCAGCCATTACCTGGTCTTCCTTATGTCCCTTTCCTCATGCTGCCCCATGGGTGCATTGGGAGTTGAGGGTGCTGTTTGCAAGCCTTTGTGCAGGTACTTTTCTTCCTTTGCGGTGGTTGTGCTTGGGGTGTGTGCTTGCTGGTTTTCTTTCTTTTTTTTTTTAAATCAGTTCATGTTGATTCTTATCTTGTGTTTGTATAATAGTTTGGGGTTGATGTAATCGTCGTTACATATATTTCATTAAGAGATGTGTGGCTCTTAGGTGTTTGCATAATTCATGAAGTCAAGTATGTTCACATACCCCTGTCAGCACAGGAGCGCGTGCAGGACCCACTTCTCCTCTTTGTATCAGTGGTTCATTGGGAAGGTGTGCTGTATTTATACGGCCTGTATAGAAGTATATACTTAAAGAAAACATAAGCTCTACCATTTATTTTCGTTCTACTCCACCCGCCCTAAGAAAGTGAAGAAAAACACACACTTCTGCTCGGGTTCTAGGATAGTTTATTTTTTCATTCAGCCATTAGTTTATTCGTTCAGGAGTTGTACACTGGAAAAAAAAGTGCATCCCGTAGACAGTGAGGGCTTTATTTATGGGGGTGGTGGTGTTTCAAAGGGGAGGCTGTCAAGTCCCAAAAGAGCCTTTCATGGTGTATTCTCAGCGTGCTTCTGAGGCCGCTGCTCTGCTCATCAGGAGCAGAGGCAGAAATGTGGGCTTTACAGAGCAGCCGTGTGTTCCGCTGGTCCCCGCGCTCGCTGCCGTTTATTTACATATTGGGAGAGTAAATGGGGAGAACAGATGGCGACCAGACATTTGGTGGTTCTGTTCCCCTAGGCTCCTCGGGGGTCTTACATTCAGTTCTTGCAAAAAGGCTTGTCCTATAGTGAGGAGGGAAAAAAACCCGGGAGCCCGCTCACAACTATGAAAGGCTTGTTGGGATTTTACTGTAGTGAGAGATTAAAGCACTTAGTGAAATGAGAAATAATCACAAGATTTGTTTTACAAGTCCAGTAATTGTGGCTTAAGATAAATCCCCCGGTGTGTCTGTGTTTGTGCCCACTGCCACCCACCCCCCAGGCAGAGATCTCTGCCCGAAGGCAGAGATTTCTTCCGTCTACAAAATGAGTTTGAAAAGAAGCAGTTTCTTTATCCAGGTCCTGGGTACATTTTGGCCTTTTCTCCAAGTGTTGTAACTCATTTGTGCTCTTGTGAATACTGAATATCTGAAATTTTTGTAGGGTTTTTCAGGGTGCCTAATATGTGTTATGTTTGTCACTATCTGCAGCTATGAAACTGAAGTTTTGCTTCTATATGAAGATGGATGATTTTATCCCTTGTTTTTGCACACTAAGATATCGATCTGTTCCAGAGCTGTTCCAGAACTATTCCAGAGTAGTGGACAGCTTACTGTTTTTTTGATATTTTGTTTTTCCAGTATGTGCAAGTTGTTTGTGTTAGGCCAGTGATAATTAAAATACTTCTCCGAGGCACAACCATAATATAAAATACACATTTTGAAAATATGTTAAAAGGGGAGCAAGTCTGTTTTGGATGTGTAAAATTCTCAACCTGCACCTTATTGCTTCCCACAAAGCAACCTCAGCGTTTCTCAGTAAATTGGGGAGAAGTCACATGAAAACTGAAGGGCCTGACCTCCTGTGCAACATGCCAAATCAGCACCTCTCAGTTTGGAACAATGAATTCTCATGAGTTACCAGTAACACTCAGAAGCTTCCTTCCATTGTAGGAGAACCTGTCAAATAAGGTGTATAGCAGACCTCAGTTACTCTTATCTACAATATGGAATCTCCTAATACTAGGTTAAAATTTGTAAAGCAAACCTTCCAGGTCAGAGCTGAATTATTTTTCTTTCAACCATGATGGCATTTGAATTAAAAATAGAATTATTGATCCTCTATGAGTAAGTAACTCAGACTTTACCAAGTGTTTTCTAACACCCTTCCTATTAAATACTGTCTTAGAAAAGAAAGACCTGAGAAACCATGTTCCCCTCCTTAGGGAGGTTTATATATTAAATTATGGAAAAGAAAGTGAAAATGGTTTATGTCAAGAAAGAAACACTATCTTCTTGAAACACAGACAGTTGATCATTAACAAAAATAATGAGGTGGAAACTCACTAATTTTCTGTAGGCCGTGCTGCAGAAATATTATGTTAAGATTAGTTTAAATGAAGATAATTGCCAAACTGCTAGATTTTTGGCAGTATATTCCACAAGCCATGAGAAAGGCATAAAATCATTTCTAAGTAAGAGTTTTTAGCCTGACTGTATTGGTGGTGTGCGGTGCTAATGAAGCTGCTGGGTCTCACCCAGTGTGTGATTACATTTCTGTGATATATGCAGCAGTTCTCTTAAATGCTTTGTAAAGCACTTTGAAATCCTGTGAGATCAAAATAAAATACAAGCCTGTTATTAAATAGGACCTAACTTCCTCATTTTTTTTTAATATGGGGTATTGCTGGTTTTAGGAAATGTATTTCTAGGCTGAGCCCACCATCACAGCACAATTACTGAGTAAATCACATCCTAGATAGTCTTTGATCTTTTTTTTTTCCCCGTGATAAAATAACATAGTTTAAATCTTTCCAGTGGTTTGTAGCCAGATGCAAAGTCAGCTAAAAAGATTTCTCCAGAAAGATTTCTTTTCTACATCATTATGTAACTAAAAGTAGCCATTAAAAATACTGTAGATTTTCATGGCAGTCTTGGAAGTCCTGGCTTCTGTATCCCAGTCCCTTCCATTGGGAGGAGATGGCAGTTCAGATGATCACATTTTCTTTACAGCCCAGAGCTGGGTAACATAGAGCTACTTCAGAAACAGCAGAACTCAAGCAGTGTGAACTGGTGAAATTCAGTGCCTTGAAGTTAATTGTCCCGCTTCCAGTAAAACCCTATCCCAGCAACATTTTTTTTTTTTGGTCAGTGTATGTATGACACACCTTGTGTAAAAAGGTTAACTGTTACAGGCAGCATTTGTTGCAAAGTCATCAGATGCTAGTCTCTATCTGGTCATGAGAATCTCTGAAGGGCTCTTTGTGTTCTTCTCTGGCAGACGGATGTCTTGGTGCTGAGCTGCGACCTGATCACAGATGTCGATTTGTACAAAGTTGTGGATCTCTTTCGGGCCCATGATGCTACTCTCTCCATGTTGATGAAGAAAACTCATGAGCCCACAGAAGTGGTACCAGGGCAGAAAGGGAAAAAAAAGCCAGGTATGTAGGAATATATATGTGTGTATATATATAAAAAAAATAATAGAGAAAGCTATTAATATGTATATTGTGTATGATTATCCATTGGAGAGTAAAAGAGATTAAAAGGTACAGATACTCTGTTTTTTCTTCAGATTCCTTGGTGGCAGTGTGACTTGCCTTTTTCCAGTTCAGAATTAAGTTGTGTAGTCTTGCAGGCTCTGGTCCAAAGCTCATAAGAGTTCAGGGAAAGGCTCCAGGTGACTTCAGTGGGTTTTGGATCAGACCCTAGATTTTTGTTACATGTGAACATTAAACCCATTAGGTTTTTCAAGAGCACTCATCATCAGCCAGATTGTAACTGGGAATTTCACCATTGACCGTAGAGAGCAAAGTTAGATGGGTAACAAATACTTCTGGAAATTCTTCACTCTCATGGTATGTACTGAATTACTCTTCTGAGATCACATCCAGAAGCCTTTTACTAGGAAAAACTCCCACTGATTTCAAGGACTTGGTTAGATGCTTATCTGGTTCCTCTTACCATAATATCTGAGTTAGTGCCTTGTAATCTTTAATGTATCTATTCTCACAACACTGCTGTAAGGCAGGGCAGGGCTATTATCCCTGTTTTACCTATATGCTAAAAGCCCTGAACAGCATAGTGTTGTTCCCATACTCTGCCTCTCATTTTCTTTTAATGATACATGTTAAATTACTGAGGCTTGATTATTGCCAGTGTGTCCTGGTTCATGATTAAAGCTCACAGGCGTTACAGTAATACGAATAAGAAAGCATGGTTCAAATTGATTGGGAGAGGAGGGAAATGCAAGCCAACAGTTGCACTATGTGTATGTGTGAAAGTTTTTCTTTCTTTTTTTCTTTTTTCTTCTTTTTTTTAGAAAAAGAAAGATACTTAGGCCTTTTACATGAAAAGATTTTTCTAGAGTAACGCATAAGGATAACAGTGCTAAAAACGTTTATGAATTTGACTCCCTAACAGCTCTAAATCATAATTGCATGTAAAACATTGTGAAGAGCATTGCCATAGCTGCACAGCTGAGCATCCAGGAGTTAAGAAGTGCCTGGAACCAATGGATCTATGATTAAACATCAGAGTTGTCCAGTAAGAGCACCCTGTTCAGCACAAGTCAGGGGAGGTCTGTGAGGAGAAACAAGATCATCTGAAGACTCTTAGCCAAATGTAAACACATCAGGTTGCCCATGCATTCTTAATTTCCTTGTTTCCTAGAGTTTGTGTGCATGACTTTGTAGCATTACTCTTCTTGCATTACTTGTATAATAGTTTGTGTACAATTTGCCTGATCTGTAGAAGGCCAAATTTAAAAATATTTGAATTCCATCATGTGGAAGCATTTTGATGCTGCAGTGTTTATCTGTGAGATTGAATGCTAAAAATCTCCCTCTCAGAGCTACTCAACTTGAGCTGTCCTGGATAGTACTCGGAATTTGCCTTTTCTCTAGGGACTGTCTCCGATAAGCCAGGTACCTGCCCAGGCATTTTCAGTCTTTTGCTAACAAAGAGGAGTGCTGAGACTGAGGCCTCTCAGCTTCTCAAGTTCCAAGCTGTGGAGGGGGACAATATACACAGACTCTCCTGCCTTTCATCCCTGGAGATTATTTTTCCTCCCTCTTCTATCCCCAGCCTAGAGTCCTTGCTTCTATGTGCTTTTTTCCTCCCTTTGTCCCTGTCAGCTTTGGTTTGTGGGTGTGTATTTTTTTTTCTTTCTTTCTTTCTTTCTTCTCTCTATGTTAATTGTGTTACAGAAATGCAGCAGATCGAGCCCTTTTGCCTGTAACAGTCCTCACAGGCTGAGCAGCCTCATGCCTTGGGTGCTCTCTATGTTCCACCTGATGGCACAGAAGATTCTGGATAGTAACTGCCATTTGATCAGTTTGAGGAACTGATTGATTGAAAGAAAACCTTTGCATAAGTGCAAAATCTACAAAATTGTTTGCAGCTAAAATAGCAGCCTTGCAAAAGTATGTGAAACTACAGTTTTCCAAAAGAACGAGATGGTAAAAAGCACATTCTTGATTTGCAGATCACCACCCTTAATAAATGTCTCATCCCTTCTCCAGAGAATTGGCCTACCAGAACTTTTCAAAGGAAGGGACCATTTACGCTTAGGCTAAACACTGCCTTAGAAGCAGCTGAACTGTTTTCTCTGAAATTTTCCCAATTTTCCCCTTAAGGCAGGCAGCTGGTATTGAAAACTTCATCCCAAACAGTTTAAAACAGACGAGGCTTATAAACAACTAAAACAAGATACTAACACAAAAAGTGTTGGGCAGGCTTTCGTGGTGGGTGGCACTGTTAACTCCTTCTCTAATACATGGCATAGCCATGGTTCTGTGTGCTCACGCTGTACTGTTTTAAGTTTAGATGTTAGGAAATGGATCTCTCAGCCCTGATAAGCCACTAGATGTTTTGACAGTTTTATTTATTGTTAGTCTGTTACTACTAATTTGTTATTTTTTGAGTCAAAGGAAAGCAAACCTTTATTTCCCATACCAAGTCATTGCTTTTAGGGTATTATTGAACATTGAAGACCTGTGAAGGAGGAAACAATTTCTAAATTATCGTGAGCCCTAAGCATCTATAAATTGCTACTGATGATTAAATGCTTGGCCTAATTGAGTTTCAGGATATAGAGTGAAGTTCACTGGCTTCTATACTGGGGGTAGAGGGGGAGTGTCTCATATTGATTATAATTATCCCATGAGCTTCTAAAATTGATTAATTAGAGGTATGCAGAGCCATGGCGATCAAAAAAAAAAAAAGAAGAAAAAAAAAAGGTGCTAATGAATGGTACAAATCCAAATAAACAGTGTGTGTCAGAAGTTCAGGAACCCAGAATGGAGTCCTGCACTTAAAAGTGACTTGCGAGGGACTGGGAGGAGGAAGAGTGCCCGAAACTTTCTGTATATAAAGAAAAGCAGAGAAGATGGGGATGGTGACTCTTCCTTGCTTGTTTTTCTTGTCTTGAAAGCAGCAGGCATGTCATCACTGGTATTCCCTCTGGTTGCCAGAAGACCTCTCTGGTGGTCTCGCAGGCTGCGTCGTGTGAATCCTCTCCCCTTAATTGAAAGGGTGGGGATACCAAATCCCTAACAAAGGTGTCTTTTTTTTTTTTCCCCAAATGACAATTAATTATGCTTGATTAAAAAGCGTTTTAGATGATCTGACTGAAAATTATTTGTTCTCTCCAAATTGCTCAACTTCCATTCTCTTGTGAGGTCATAATTTCTTGAAGTCTTAAAGTCCTCAAAATTGATGGGATCTCATTTCTAGGGTACTCAGAAATTGCCATAACTGTTTCAGATCCTTATTTTTCTATCACAAGGAAGCAAAACACATCCTGTATTCCATTTTCATACTTTAAATCATTTTGTATTTAACGTCACTGCAGATTTAACATTTTTCTCATTCATCCCTCGCAGGGTGTGTATTCATTCTTATTAAATAGTGCCAGTGTGATTTGAAACAGCCTTCTTGTGTCTCTGGGTAATTGATTTTTTGTAATAAATTTTGTTGTTTTTAAGTTACGATAGTAATGCCTTTGATTGCCAGCATACAGTGAAAAACTTACTTTGACTTGGTATTCACTGTATATAAAATACATCTCTCTAACATGGTTTTCCTCTCTGTTTCTTATGTATCTGCACAAGCAAGAAGAACTTGTTTGGCAGTAGCTATGTAGCCAGTATGTAGTTATGCTTTGAGCGTATTTTCCTTTTATATTTTAGTGTGTAGGCAAGACCTGTGTGTAGGCACTGTAGTGTGTTGCAAATAGCAATACTGAGGGCATATTTAGGAGGTAGGCAGTGACAGCCTGAACTTACCTGGGGAGAGGTGTGGGCCCCCCGTCTGAGACACCCACACACTCGCATTGCTCTGCAAGGACACCCCAATTAGGTGGCACTGGTGACAGTTGTTTAGCCCCTAGTCGCAGATTTCATGGTGCTCTTTAGCATGAGGTTTGTCCTTGCTTTCCAGATTTTATTCTGATTTCAACTGATCGTACTTAATTTGTCATATTGTTGCATGTTCAGACCTATTTTTGTATTCAGCTGCTGTCTAATGAATTTCTGAGTGGGGTGGGGAGGTTTCTGAAGAGGGTATCCTTGATCACTCAGATCAAAGGCTGCCAGTGGGAAAGCTTTCAACAGCTGCATAGGTTTGACTGTATTTGGATAGTGGTTGTTTCTATGGTAACCCTGATGGAACAAATATCAAGAAAATAAAGGATGGGGCTGAACTGGGGGAGATGGGATTAACAATGTAGTTTAGCTGAGAAAAGATCTTAAAGAATTAACTGCTTATAGAGGATGCTGTTATGTGGTTAAAGGCTTAGGATTTAGGAGATTGAGTATTTGCCAGTATGGCCCTAAATAATAGTATTTAGTGAGAGAAAGGAGGTTTTGTTAGAACTATGCATTTTATATGTGTATTTTTGCACAGTCTATGTCTGCATAAAGAGCAGTCTGTGGGTGCCACCAGAATTATGGCTTACGTTATCAAGTGCAAGTTAGCATAAGCTTCCGTTCCTCTGTTCAGAAAAAAATGCTTTAAATTTCAGCAGACCAAAGTCACTGTTGATGCACTGTCACTGATTGCAGCAAATAGAAATCACCACCATAATATATGTGACTATTAAGTATTCTCTTCATTGTCAGTTTTACAAATAGGTTTTTAAGACAAGGTAACCCACCCACAAACATCAAAGTGGTAGGAATTTTAGAACCTGTGCAGTTTATATGTATTTGGGTGGTTTAAGTTTTCTATTGCTATCAGTATTCACCTGAAATAGGAGATGAGTTGTGAAGTAGTTTTGTCTTGCCCGAAATCATAATACTCTCCACTCCACCTAATTCTAATGCAAGCAATGGAGTGATTTATGATGAGGAAGAAACAGCTGTTTTTTGAAGAATTTTGATTGCCATGGGTTTTGTCATTATGTAAATTCAGGTAGTTTTTTTTTAAAAAGGGGGGGGGAGGAAAAAGGCAAGCACAATTTAGTGTAGCTCAAGATAGTGTTGCCTGTTAGGACCTGTAGTTGGCATCTTCACAGCAAGGTTGCAAAAAGCTTCAGGAACAGTGCTTTGAATGTCATGATCTACATATCACCTACCCTGACTGAAAAGAAGTAAATGAATATTGTGGGAAATTGGTACAAATTTGTTATTGCATTAGTCTGAAGCCTAATATTTAATGTTCCAGAGGTAGTTGGTGGTCCCGTTTGTTTTCAGCATACATTAATATAGGGTTATATAATGATTGCGTTTGGTTTTCTACTTTAGTGGAGCAGCGCGACTTTATTGGAGTGGATGACACAGGAAAAAGATTGCTCTTCATGGCTAATGAAGCTGACTTGGATGAAGAACTTGTCATTAAAAGATCCATCCTTCAGAAGTAAGACTATGAGTCCTTGTATTTGAAACTGACTTTGGAATGGGTGGAATAGGAAAAATAGATAAAGGCAAAGTGGGATGAGGAGGGGAGAGAGAAGTTTCTTCAATATTCAGTGAGCAACATTTTATTATTTGTTGTGTCATTACAAGCAGTTGATAGGCCTGTCTGATACCTTCGTTGTGAAAAATTCCAGGGAAAGAAGTAGGATGGGTGTGAACTCTTTTTGAAATGAAGCCTGTATAGTTATAATTCAGATACCATTTAGAGTCAGAGATTCAGAAATGGTAGACCTATGCCCATAAGTGAAATGCTAATCTCACTGCCAAAGTCGCACATCATCTGTGAGACTTGAGGAAGATGCTCAAAATTTCATGACACTTTTGTGCATGTAGGCTTGGAAAGCTTCACTAGAAAACCCTTTTTATACCCATGGTTAAACTGCACTGATTTAATAAATTAATTTAAATTTAAATTAATAAATTTGCCTGACTAGCTGAGCTTTCTACACAGTGCAATTCATATCTATTAGCAGAAGAAAGATGCATTACTTATTGTTTCTTTATAGTAATTTTACTTTTCTAAGACCCATACGCTGTCTGACATTTCCTATGGAAAGATTTGCTGGCTCTTTCAGAGCCCAATCTTTGTAGTCTGTCCCATACTGTTGGTCAGGCTTCCCCTTTGAGATTAGACACGTATAGGGCAGCCATCTCTGAGCTGGGAAATATATCCATGTGCACCTTGTAAATCAAGGATGTGGATGGACATCCAGGACCTGCTCTTAGGTCTATGAAAATATTGCTGATGTATGTGGTAGGCTGTGTGGAATATTTGGGCATTGACAACCTGCTGCTAGGTGTTACCTTCCCTTGAACACCCCATGTGTGTGCAGGTATCTCGTAGGTGCTATATGCCTATGGGATGATGACTCTTCTGCCTGGATTTTCGATTTACTCTTGGAGAAAGGTGACCAAAAGTGAACCATGTTAGCTACTGTGATAGAAAGACCCTGTCCCACAGTGTTCCCACAGCCTCTCTCCTTAGATTTTCTTGGTCATGGCAAGGAGCAAGCTGCAGGCTTGCCTTCTTTGCATGCCCAGCAATTGATATGCACAGTAGAGTAAATTATGTACTGTTCATTCTGTGTTTTTGACCATAAAACAAATAATAGATCTATTTTGGACTAGGATGGAATATTGTATCTGCTGTTAGTGGTAGGCTTGGTTTTATGGTTTTCTCATAGCAAAAGCGGGTGGCTGTAATATAACAACTTTGAAATTGCTGTAACACATGTGATCCTAGTTGACCTCTGATTTTACAGGTTCATCTAAACAGAGGATTCTCATTCCTGTTTTGCTATCCTAAAGTTAAATTAATCAGACTTTATCCTGCAGGCCAAACTGTGCCTTCAGGAACACCTGTTCAGTCACGTTGCTTCAGCAGATCTTCTTGAGTGTAACTGTTTGGGATTTGGTAAATGGGGTGTTGGTGATTGTACAGATGGGATAAAATCTGTATGTCTCCATGTCTTAGCTTTGATAGTTTTGCCTGAGTAAATGTATTGTAAAATGTTAACCAACTTCAAAGTAAAAGCCACAGATGATAGTCTAGAAGCACAAAGAGAGATCTGCTACGTGTATACAAGTCACCAAGAACTTGATTTTATGTATTTTATTGAGGTTCCAAAGACCTCAAACAGCCTCAGGCTGAAGCATTGGGTCATTATCCACTTGGGTGATCTTCTAATGCTTCTGTCCCTGAAACCGCCTGCTGTGGATGCTCGTGCGCTCGCTCTTTTTCTTGGAGAAGTTCTGAGGAAAGCAGCATTGTATATGGAAATCATGAAGTATTTTTAAGTAAGGCATGGCAGCAACAACTGTGGGAGCTCTAGGAAGACAAAATGTTGGCAGCTAATGATGTTTTAACCACCGTGTTGTCTAGACCTGCTCTAGTCCTGACTTTCTCATGTGAGAAACAAAAGTGATGCTTAAAACCATCTTTGAAGTCTTTTTTTTTTCATACATCATACATCATAGTAAAGCAAGCAAGAAAGAGCAAGCCCAATCTTGCTTTTCTTGTGGATCACTTGAAGTGACTGACTTTCAGCTGCCATGTTGGCCATTTCTTGATCTCTGGACTTTGTTTGGATGGAATAACAGACTTTGTGGCACGATGGGAGAATTTCCAGTACACTCATTTTTTCCTTTGTAAAATACAATAGACATCTTGAGGGTGTTGCTCTTGTTTGTTTTGCTTTTAATGATCCCTTTGAAGGGTTATGGTGGTCCTGCTACATGAACTCTAGAACTCTTCCAGTGCTTGGTTTGCACACTGAATCCTTTTGATTTTTCTTTTTTTTCCTTTTTCCCCTCCCTTTAAGGAGGGGGGTGGAAGGGAGGGAGTGGAGGAAGGAATGGGAAGAGGAAAGACAAACTTCTCCTTAAAGTGTGGACTCTTGTTACTGACAAAAATCTAGATCCCTTACAAAAACTGTTCAAAGGGCCTTCGGCTTCCCCCACTCACAGGAGGGAAGTTCTGTTGACAAAACATCCAAAGCTGTAGAACGCTAATTTAAATCCTTAAAGAAAAACCTTTTTCTTGACCTTTGCCTTCTTCCTATCATTGCATTTCACGCTCTTCACTTTCCGGCCATAAAAGAGCAGCTGGTGGGGAGGGACAGAGGAAAATACACATTCTCCTGAGTACCTGTTGAGTATTAAATATTTGTTTGCTCTTGATTCAGGCGTTCTGTAATAATTAAAGTGTTACAGAATGAACTTTTTAATGAGACTTATAAATTCCTGGTGAAACCTATTTTTCTCCCTTATTCTGTTGCTGAGTATAGTTAGGAATTCTTTTGAGGATTTGTTTTGTTTTGTGCGCTGTGGGTAGTTATTTTGGTTTTGAGGAATACCTGTCCTCTTCGTACCACCACAAAGAGGATGTTGGGTTTTGCTCCTTTGATTGCCAGAGCAAATCTGTCAAGGCTTTCTGTTCAGCTGTTAAATTGCCCATTTCTTCTGTGCAGTTAATAGTTCTCAGGACAAGTCCCTCAGGTTGCATCTCACCTCTGGTAAACAAGTGCATAACGGTGCCAAATGCATCCGTTCAGACACATTTCAGTGCCTCTGACACTGCAGCAGGACGGGCTGGGCGGAAAATTTATTGGTAGTGCCTAGAGAGATGCCACGGGGGAAAAGCATTTTCAAGGAAATGGTTCCCTGTTTGGGTCATGAGAGCTTATAAAAAGCCATGAGCAGCCTGTGTGTGTCATTCACTCCGGCAAATAGCTGCAAGATGAGATACTAGAACGAAAGAAATACAGTTTGGGGAAGTTTGGGAGCCAACTCGGGGGCCCTTTGAAGAGAAAGAAAAGAAAGTTATGTGCTCATCCCTGGAGCCTGGTTCTGCCGGTGACATCTCTCTGACTCTGGGTTTGGCAGAATGAAAGACTGAGGAAATAATGAGAATTCCATAGCTGCCTGTTTTGTTTTTGGAGAGAGGGGGTAAAGGTATTTGTTTTCAAAGCGTGATTACAATGGCCAGGGACTTTTTTGCTCCACCTCTGATATTTATGGTCATGCAAAGTGAGACAGTAAAAGACACCTGTTGGAGCAGGTCTAAATTTGGAGTGTTTCCTTTTAAGATATCGTCGGCTGTTGGAGGGCGAGCGGAGCCTTCGTGGGTGTTCCCTCCGCTGCTGCAGGTGCAGGTCTTCTCCTCGAGAGTGCGTTAATAAATCACCATGACAATCCCAGCTACTTATTACCTCATACATTTCAGACAGAAAGGGATACCTCATCTGTAAATATATACATATATATACATATATATGGTCCTCACGTAAGTAACCTTGAAGAAACAATACAGATCTGCTTTTAAGATATTTTAATAAAAAGAAGGGGGTAGAGCAGGGGAGGAATTTTTTTGTCCCTTTTTCCCTTGCACCATGAAAGTAAAAATGATGGTGCTGTATCATTTTAAAAGCTAGTGTTGCCAAGTGGGTAGGTAATGAGAGTTCAGAAATAGTTTTGATCCACTCGATATCCTTTCTGTTGCCTTGGGATGTTGCCTTTTTCTTTTTTCTTCTTCTGATGATTTATTTTAAATAAATGAATTGTATATAAATGCACTGGGACTTCCTCAGCATTTCTGTTATCTTAAACTGCCTTCCTTGAGAAGGTGTCTGGGAAATACTTTGAATCACCTTTGGTGCTTTATTTGTTTTTAATTCAAAATGTAGCTCCCTGAGGAAGAGTGGGAGTGACACAGATCCAGGCAAATGCTCCACTCTATAAAACATCCTCAAGCAGGTGTCCCCTGCAGGGACAGCCGTGTGGCCAAGGGGAAGACCACGGCCAGGCTGGATGTATGAGGGAGCTCTCCGTAAGCCACGTGTGTCAAAATGAGTTGGATCACTTCTAATAGATTAAACAGCGGGACTTTGATAGCGTGGTTTGTGTCCCCATGCTCCCATAGGCAGTACCACTGACAGACCTGGACCTGGTAGGGAAACTGTGAGCGTCGACTGTGGGGCAGTCCCGGGAGCCCTAACTCAGCTGCCTACAGATAAATATATGTATTTGCTTTGGTGTTGTTCCCATGTGGGGAAACTTGGTATCTGCTCTTTTCATAAATAGGAATTAATTTTTTCTGATTACCATCCAGAAAATATATCAGGTTCTTTTTGGCTCACTCATCACAAAAATCAAAGTTGTTTGTGTAGATTTAGGTAATAATGCTTTTGCAGATGCACAAGCCAAAACAGAATCTGGTTCCCCTTTCCAGAACTGAATTGGTTTTGCAGTGCTAGTAGGAATTTAGAAAGTTGTAAAATGTTATTTTGGCCAGTAAAGTAAGCAAATCCGTCTCTGAATCAAAACAGGGGAACGAGGTCTACTGAATAAGAGGGTGCAATTTTTACACACTAACTTTTCAGTCTATAACCACATTTCAAAAACATTGGTGTAACTTAAATCATATTTCTTCATAGAGAAGAA